CCTTAAAATTTCCTTTAATGGTAAAAATGAAGGATATAGAATTTAGCCGAAATAAAAGTTTTAAACCTTATTTCTTTGTGAGAAGTTGTATCTCTGACCATAGGGTTTCACTTTAAACCCGTGACTTTTAGATTCTCCTAAAGTCACGGTTCATTTTCAGATCAAATAAAATAACAAATCAGAAAATTTACAAATTACCTCCAAAGCACATAATAACTACAATTTTCAACGTAATATTTAGTTGGAACTTCGGTGTGGTTATGAAATATGGTAATAGAATTACTTTAACCTGCTACTTGGCTCCAATATATCCACTTAAAGGTTCGATTTAATTTAGTTATCTCAAGTGGTTTTATCTTATTTTAATTAATCTAAAATTCTTAGAAAAAATATATATGTATTTAAATGAAAATTTTCAGGGTTTCCTTTACAAAAAACTGAAAAGATATTTTTTAGTCTTTACGAGATGAACAATATATTATCGATGTGAACAGAACTAGCAAAGATAGAGTAAAAATATAACGCAGCTTAAAAGCAGAAGGATATTCAAAAGTTTCTCATTTGATTTTTAACATCAAATTGATAAATTATGCAGGCCCGTATCAAATTTATTATACATTCCTATGGTAATATTATATCATAATCACTCACATTTACATAGTGATTGGTTCTTTATTTCTTAGGAAAAACTGAACATCTGCAAGTGAGGATGTTCTCTATTTTGGCTTCTTGTTTTGGGCTTCAACATATGTATTTAATCTAAGGCATATTGACAATTTTTCGATCAAGCATAAATGTTTATTGTACATTTTGGATTCGATCCCTGTGGTGGACACAATGCATAAAAGCCTATTGGACAACTTATAACCCCGTGTTCGTAAGCACTAATAACCTCATTAAAAGCGATCCTAAGTATTAAGATTGTAACTTAATTTACAACTTTGTGTCTGCATTTCTGGACGAACTGAAAGAATATAAACGACCAACTGGAATATTCTAAAATCTTAAGAGAAAGAACCAATAGCAAAATTATCAGTGAATGTTAACAATCAGAAAATATTAAAATATTCACATATTTGTTATTTCAAATATTATCATTATTTATTGATAGTCCAGTTAGTTTAGTCCTATTTTGTTTCGCAATTCATCTCTAGCTACGAAAAAAAATCTTTTATAAGGTTTATTCTGAATTGTAAAACAATTGTTAATTGTAAAACACTGATCAGTAACATAAACTATACTTTCCAATGTATTAACCATTAAAACAATAAAACTACATATTATACAGTGTTAATTAAGCTTCCCAATTGTTTCTGTTGAGAAAAGTTCTTTAGAAAAAAAAATGTTTGTTTGTTTGAAGTTAAGCACAAAGCTACACAATGGGCCATTTGTGCTCTGCCCACCATATACCACTGTGCCACTGGAGGGCGAAAGATAATGAAACATATTTGAAAACGAATACCTTTAATACTACCAAACGACCTTGTTTAACATTTGGAATAAATAAATAATTTTTCCTTGATTTTTAAACTTCATTTTCTTTAATCTTGAAAACTAAAAAAAAAAATTATTTAACCTAATTAAAATAAAAGTTTATTAAACAAACAATTACAAATTATTTATCTGGCCTAAGGTAGCTCTAGAAATATGAGTGATACACCAGAAAATACTGGACAAATATTCTAAAAAATATTTAGTTTCTCAAAACAAGACATTATTTTTATGTCAAGCTATTTGATGTAATTTTAAAAAGAAACATGTAAATATAAAAGAAAAAACTAATTAAGTAAGAGATGGGTTTGATACCATTATTAAACGATGAATATTAAATGAATATTCGAGACAAAACAAAAACTATTAAGTCAGTAAACTATTTGAAAGAAAAATAAAACCTTCTGTAATGTTAGGAATAAACAGTTATACGGTTTTTATTATTTATTTATTGGATTTTATTATTTTATTCTTGATTGATTTGATTATATATTGCAGAACTATGAATTGTACAGCAATATCAGGTAATTTTCAATTGCAAATATTCTACTAATCTCAGGTTACAATAAACACCAGAATAGTAATTCTAGTAGTAATATCTCTAAAGTTCTGTACTAGATATGTTATCGATTTATATATATATATAACATTTTTAAAGTTTTAATCACACATGTTTTATTCTTAAAACAAGCAAGTATACATTCATACATTTCATAACATCATTTTCCTTATATAATTACTTAAGTTTATAATTTTAGTAATTTGTTTTCAAAAGTTACAAAACAATTGTTAATTGCCCTGTGTAAATGAAATTGAATATTATTTTAATACTGGCAGAGACCCGCAAAACATTTGCAGTCACATTAGTATCTTTATTTACAGTACTTCTTTAAATACAGGATTTTTAGAATAATACAAAATAATTTTAATCACAGACACTGAAATCTGTAAGTCCATTTGTCTTAGGCCTAACGTTAGTTAAGTCATTATTAGGTATGGCCTATATTCGATAAAATGATAAATTAACACTGTAGCTTGAGTACGTTTCGCTTTTGCTTTTGTTTAATTAGAGATAAACATTACCGTAGTTAATATTATCAATAAATAAATTTATAATGTTTTTCTAAGACCTAACGTTAGACCTTTTCAAAAACTTTTATGGGCTTTTCATATGTTGTACAAAATGTGTAATAAAGTATATATACATCGCCTTTTGTTTACACCCGTTGAAATTAAGTGTGCGCGCCT